CCCAGTATAACCCAGTATAACCAGTATAACCCAGTATAACCAGTATAACCCAGTCTGTCCCAGTATAACCCAGTATAACCCAGTATAACCAGTATAACCCAGTATAACCCAGTTTAACCCAGTCCCCCCAGTATAACCCAGTATAACCAGTATAACCCAGTATAACCCAGTATAACCCAGTATAACCCAGACCCCCCAGTCCCCCCAGTCTATCCCACTATAACCCAGTATAACCCAGTCCATCCCAGTATAACCAGTCCCCCCAGTCCCCTCTCACGGCCGGGCCCGGCGCGCTCTCGCTCTGCTTCAGGCGCAGCCGCAGCTCCGAGAGACCCGGCAGGAGGGCGGCCAGCACGGGGGGGGACACCTGGGGACACCACGGGACATTGGGGACACCTGGGGACATTGGGGACACCTGGGGACACCACGGGACACCACAGGACACTGGGGACACCTGGGGACACCTGGGGACACCTGGGGACACCACGGGACCGTGAGGGGACACTGGGGACAGGGAGAACACTGAAGGGACACAGGGACCTGGGGACAGAGGAGACGCTGCAGTGACACACAGGTGACACTGAGGTGACACAGGTGACACGCAGGTAATACAGGTGTGACACACGTATAACACACAGGTGGCACAGGTGACAGGTGACACTCAGATGACACAGGTGTGACACTGAGATGACACACAGGTAACACACAGGTGTGACATTGAGGTGACACACAGGTGACACAGGTGACACAGGGGTGACAGGTGACACAGGTGACACAGGTGGCATTGAGGTGACACAGGTGACACACACGTGACACACAGGTGACAAGTGACACTGAGGTGACACTCAGGTGAGCCGTACCTGCGCCCCGGGCGGGGGCAGCTCCTGCCACAGCAGCCGGGGGTCGCGCAGCCGCAGAGCCTTGAGCAGCACGGGGGCCTGGGGGTCACGCTGACGGTGACGGCGCCGAGGCCGCCCTCGAGCAGCTCCAGCGGCGCCCCCGCCCCCGCCAGCAGCTCGTCCAGGGCCTGGGGAACGGGACGGGACAGAGTCACCCCGAAATGAACCCGAAATCACCCTGAATCACCCCCAAATAACCCTGAAATCAGCCCGAAATGAACCCGAAATAACCCCGAAAATAACCCTGAAATCACCCCGAAATGAACCCGAAATGAACCCTGAATCACCCCCAAATAACCCTGAAATCAGCCCGAAATGAACCCGAAATAACCCCGAAAATAACCCTGAAATCACCCCGAAAATAACCCTGAAATCACCCCAAAATGAACCCGAAATAACCCCGAAAATAACCCAGAGTCACCCCAAAATGAACCCAAAAACAACCCCAAAATCACCCCGAAATGAACCCAGAATCACCCCGAAAATAACCCAGAGTCACCCTGAAATGAACCCAAAATGAACCCAGAGTCACCCCGAAATGAACCCGAAATAACCCCGAAAATAACCCAGAGTCACCCTGAAATGAACCCAAAATGAACCCAGAGTCACCCCGAAATGAACCCGAAATAACCCCTGAAATCACCCCGAAATAACCCCAGAATCACCCCAAAAATAACCCAGAATCACCCCAAAAATAACCCCAGAAGCACCCTGAAATAAACCCAAAATCACCCCGAAAATAACCCTGAAATCACCCTGAAATAAACCCAAAAATAACTCCAGAAATAACCCCAGAATCACCCTGAAATAACCCCAGAATCACTCCAAAATAAACCCAAAATCACCCCGAAAATAACCCTGAAATCACCCTGAAATAAACCCAAAAATAACTCCAGAAATAACCCCAGAATCACCCTGAAATAACCCCAGAATCACTCCAAAATAAACCCAAAATCACCCCGAAAATAACCCTGAAATCACCCTGAAAATAACCTCAGAGCCACCCCAAAATAAACCCGAAATCATCCCTGGAACGGCCCTAGGATCACCCCAAAAATCACCCCAAGTCACCCCAAAAATCACCCAAAATCACCCAAAAATCACCCCAAAAATCACCCAAAAATCACCCAAAAATCACCCCAAAAATCACCTCAAAGTCACCCAAAAATCACCCAAACCCCGCAAAATGCCCCAAAAACCGACCCCGTTATTCCCGTTATTTATCCCGGTTACCGGGGCCCGCAGCCGCAGGTCCCGCACGGTGCCGGTGCCCCCCGTTATCCCGGTTATTTATCCCGGTTATTCCCGTTATTTATCCCGGTTATTCCCGTTATTTATCCCGGTTTATCCCGTTATTTATCCCGTTATTATCCCGGTTTATCCCGGTTATCTATCCCGGTTATTCCCGTTATCTATCCCGTTATCTATCCCGTTATTATCCCGGTTACCGGGGCCCGCAGCCGCAGGTCCCGCACGGTGCCGGTGCCGCCCCGCAGGTCCAGCCCGAGCTGCTCCAGCCGCAGCGGCTCCTCCAGGAAGGGCCCGAGCCAGCGCTGCAGCGCGTACCGGGCGGCGCGGGCCTTCAGCGCCTCGGGCCAGCCCCGCGCCCAGCCCGCCATGCCGCCGGCACCGGGAGCGGCAACGGCACCGGGAGCGGCACCGCAACGGGGAGCGGCACCGCAACGGCAGCGGAACGGCGGCGGAACGGCAGCGGAACCACCCCGGGCGCGGCCCCGACACCGAAATCGGCCCCGGGAGCGGCCCCGGGAGCGGCACCGGCACCGGCGCCGCCACACACGGCCACTTCCGGGCCCGCCTCCGCCGCGCTGCGCCCATTGGCTACCAAGTTTGATGGACGGCGCGCCGCGCCAATCAGAGCGCGGCAGGCGGAGCGCGCGTGCGCTGCGGCCAATCGCGGCCGGGGGGCGGAACGAGGGCGGGGAAAGCGGCGGGGTCTCCGCCGGAAGTTGCCTCAGGAGGTTGCCGGAAGTGCCGTGGGAGGTGCCGGAAGTGGGAGGAGCCGGGGCTGGCTGGTTTTTGGGGTCAGTAAAGGATTTTGGAGGAGCGCTAAAGGATTTCTTTGGGAGAATGAAGGATTTTTGGGGTCAGTAAAGGATTTTGGAGGAGCGCTAGCTGCTCCAGCCGCAGCGGCTCCTCCAGGAAGGGCCCGAGCCAGCGCTGCAGCGCGTACCGGGCGGCGCGGGCCTTCAGCGCCTCGGGCCAGCCCCGCGCCCAGCCCGCCATGCCGCCGGCACCGGGAGCGGCAACGGCACCGGGAGCGGCACCGGGAGCGGCACCGGGAGCGGCACCGGAACGGGGAGCGGCGCCGCAACGGCAGCGGAACGGCAGCGGAACGGCAGCGGAACCAGCGCCGGGCGCGGCCCCGACACCGAAATCGTTCCCGGGAGCGGCACCGGCACCGGCGCCGCCACACACGGCCACTTCCGGGCCCGCCTCCGCCGCGCTGCGCCCATTGGCTACCAAGTTTGATGGACGGCGCGCCCCGCCAATCAGAGCGCGGCAGGCGGGCGGAACGAGGGCGGGGAAAGCGGCGGGGTCTCCACCGGAAGTTGCCTCAGGAGGTTGCCGGAAGTGCCGTGGGCGGTGCCGGAAGTGGGAGGAGCCGGGGCTGGCTGGTTTTTGGGGTCAGTAAAGGATTTTGGAGGAGCGCTAAAGGGTTTTTTTGGGAGAATGAAGGATTTTTGGGGTCAGTAAAGGATTTTGGAGGAGCGCTGAAGGATTTCTTTGGGAGAATAAAGGACTTTTGGGGGCGATAAAGGGTTTTGGAGGGCAATAAAGGGTTTTTGGGGGGCAATAAAGGATTTTCGGGGTTAACAAAGGATTTTTAGGGCAATAAAGGATTTTTAGGCTCAACAAAGAATTTCTTGGCTGCCATAGCGGGTTTTTACATCAACAAAAGATCTTTTTTATGTCAATAAAAATTTTTATTTAGGTCAAAAAAGCATCTCCGTAGATCGATGAAGGAATTTTTAAGTCAATAAAGGATGTTTTAGTGCGGGCCAGAACTGGGTGAGAACGGGGCCGGTGCTGGCTCGGTCCTGCTCCCTCCCGGGTCGGTCCTGGGTCAGTCCCGGTCCCTCCCGGTCAGTACCGAGCGTGCCGGCAGGCCCCGCAGCCGCAGCTCGAGGCCGAGGCCGCGCGGAGCCGCCGGGAGCCGCCGGGGCAGCGCAGCCAGAGCGGGACCTGGGGGCGGGGCGGGGTCAGGGACACGCCCAGGTGTGCCCCGCCCACCGCCGGCCACGCCCACACAGGCCACGCCCACACCTTTATCTACCCGGTCACACCTTCACAAGCCACGCCCACCACCTGACACGTCTTCACAGGCCACGCCCACACCTCTATCTGCCATGCCACACCCTCGCAGGCCACGCCCCCACATTTACAGCCACACCCACTCCACCCAAGCCACACCCACATCCTCATTTTCTCCCACAGGCCCCGCCCACTGCCGCAAAGGCCCCGCCCTCCCAGGCTCCGCCCCTCTCAGGCCCCGCCCCTCCTTGCCCCGGCCCCGCCCCCGGGCGCGAGGCCCCGCCCACCCGGGTCACGTGCTCCATGGTGCAGCAGCGCGCCTCGGCCAGCAGGGGGCGCCCTCCGGCGTCCAGCAGCGCTATGGGGCGGGGCCTATGGGGGAGGGGCTGTGCTGCTGACCCCGTGTTGACCCCGCAGTGACCCCTCCCTGACCCCTGTGACCTGTGTGTGACATCACTGATCCCACAGTGACCCTGTGACCCCTCCCTGACCCCTGTGATTCCTGTGACTTCCCTGTGACCCCTCTCTGACCCCGTGACCCCTGTGTGACCCCAGGTTCCAGCTGCACATCTGGGACGTCGGGGGGCAGAGCTCTGTGTGCTGACCCCTGACCCTGCAGTGACCCCACAGGGACCATCCCTGACCATCCCTGACCCCGTGACCCCTCTCTGACCCCTGTGTGACCCCTCTCTGACCCCGTGACCTCTGTGTGACCCCAGGTTCCAGCTGCACATCTGGGACGTGGGCGGGCAGAGCTCTCTCCGCTCCTATTGGCGCAATTACTTCGAGAGCACGGACGGGCTGCTCTGGGTGGTGGACAGCAGCGACAGGCAGAGGCTGAAAGTGTGTGCCCAGGAGCTCAGGACACTGCTCAGAGAGGAGGTGACAGCCTGGGGACAGCCTGGGGACACTCACGGGGACACACGGACACACACAGGGACACACGGACACGGGGACAGCACGGGGACTCCTGTGACCCCCATGACCCCTCTCTGACCCCGTGACCTCTCTGTGACCCCTCTCTGACCCCGTGACCCCTGTGTGACCCCAGGTTCCAGCTGCACATCTGGGACGTGGGCGGGCAGAGCTCTCTCCGCTCCTATTGGCGCAATTACTTCGAGAGCACGGACGGGCTGCTCTGGGTGGTGGACAGCAGCGACAGGCAGAGGCTGAAAGTGTGTGCCCAGGAGCTGAAAATGCTGCTCCGGGAGGAGGTGACAGCCTGGGGACACCCGCGGGGACACACGGACACGGGGACAGCACGGGGCCAGGGCAGGGGCTGCTCTGGGTGGTGGACAGCAGCGACAGGCAGAGGCTGAAAGTGTGTGCCCAGGAGCTGAAAATGCTGCTCCGGGAGGAGGTGACAGCCTGGGGACACTCACAGGGACACCCACGGGGACACACAGACACACAGGGACAGGGGACAGGGCAGGGGCTGCTCTGGGGGCACAGCAGCGACAGGCAGCGCCTCAAAGTGTGTGCCCAGGAGCTGAGAACGCTGCTGAGAGAGGAGGTGACACCTTGGGGACACCCACAGGGATACAGGGACACCCTGGGGACACTCACGGGGATCCTGGGGACACCCTGGGGAGGTTGGGGACACACACAGGGACATTGGGGACCCCCTGGGGACCCCCTGGGGACCCTGGGGGCGCGGCGGGGGCAGCGGGGTGACCCCGGCCCTGCCCCCCCAGCGCCTGGCCGGGGCCACCCTGCTGGTGTTCGCCAACAAGCAGGACCTGCCCGGGGCACAGGGACCTTGGGGACACCCTGGGGAGGTTGGGGACCCCCTGGGGATCCCCTGGGGACCCTGGGGGCGCGGCGGGGGCAGCGGGGTGACCCCAGCCCTGCCCCCCCAGCGCCTGGCCGGGGCCACCCTGCTGGTGTTCGCCAACAAGCAGGACCTGCCCGGGGCGCTGCCGGCCGGGGACATCCGCCAGGTACCGGCACCCCAAAACACCCAAACACCCCGGGAGGGACCCCAGAAACCCCCCAGGGACCCCAAAAACCCCGTGAGGGACCCCAAAAACCCTCAGAGACCCCAACCCCCCCCAAAAAACCTCACTGGGACCCCAAAAACCCCCCCGGGAAAGCCCCAAACCCCTCTAGCACGGGGACAGGGCAGGGGCTGCTCTGGGGGCACAGCAGCGACAGGCAGAGACTCAAAGTGTGTGCCCAGGAGCTGAGAACGCTGCTGAGAGAGGAGGTGACACCTTGGGGACAGCCTGGGGACACTCACGGGGACACACGGACACACACAGGGACACACGGACACGGGGACAGCACGGGGACAGGGCAGGGGCTGCTCTGGGGGCACAGCAGCGACAGGCAGAGACTCAAAGTGTGTGCCCAGGAGCTGAGAACGCTGCTGAGAGAGGAGGTGACACCTTGGGGACAGCCTGGGGACACTCACGGGGACACACGGACACACACAGGGACACACGGACACGGGGACAGCACGGGGACAGGGCAGGGGCTGCTCTGGGGGCACAGCAGCGACAGGCAGAGACTCAAAGTGTGTGCCCAGGAGCTGAGAACGCTGCTGAGAGAGGAGGTGACACCTTGGGGACAGCCTGGGGACACTCACGGGGACACACGGACACACACAGGGACACACGGACACGGGGACAGCACGGGGACAGGGCAGGGGCTGCTCTGGGGGCACAGCAGCGACAGGCAGAGACTCAAAGTGTGTGCCCAGGAGCTGAGAACGCTGCTGAGAGAGGAGGTGACACCTTGGGGACAGCCTGGGGACACTCACGGGGACACACGGACACACACAGGGACACACGGACACGGGGACAGCACGGGGACAGGGCAGGGGCTGCTCTGGGGGCACAGCAGCGACAGGCAGAGACTCAAAGTGTGTGCCCAGGAGCTGAGAACGCTGCTGAGAGAGGAGGTGACACCTTGGGGACAGCCTGGGGACACTCACGGGGACACACGGACACACACAGGGACACACGGACACGGGGACAGCACGGGGACAGGGCAGGGGCTGCTCTGGGGGCACAGCAGCGACAGGCAGAGACTCAAAGTGTGTGCCCAGGAGCTGAGAACGCTGCTGAGAGAGGAGGTGACACCTTGGGGACAGCCTGGGGACACTCACGGGGACACACGGACACACACAGGGACACACGGACACGGGGACAGCACGGGGACAGGGCAGGGGCTGCTCTGGGGGCACAGCAGCGACAGGCAGAGACTCAAAGTGTGTGCCCAGGAGCTGAGAACGCTGCTGAGAGAGGAGGTGACACCTTGGGGACAGCCTGGGGACACTCACGGGGACACACGGACACACACAGGGACACACGGACACGGGGACAGCACGGGGACAGGGCAGGGGCTGCTCTGGGGGCACAGCAGCGACAGGCAGCGCCTCAAAGTGTGTGCCCAGGAGCTGAGAACGCTGCTGAGAGAGGAGGTGACACCTTGGGGACAGCCTGGGGACACTCACGGGGACACACGGACACACACAGGGACACACGGACACGGGGACAGCACGGGGACAGGGCAGGGGCTGCTCTGGGGGCACAGCAGCGACAGGCAGCGCCTCAAAGTGTGTGCCCAGGAGCTGAGAACGCTGCTGAGAGAGGAGGTGACACCTTGGGGACAGCCTGGGGACACTCACGGGGACACACGGACACACACAGGGACACACGGATACACACAGGGACACACAGACAGACAGGGACATTGGGGACACCCTGGGGACAGCCTGGGGACACTCACAGGGACCTTGGGGACACCCTGGGGAGGTTGGGGACCCCCTGGGGATCCCCTGGGGACCCTGGGGGCGCGGCGGGGGCAGCGGGGTGACCCCAGCCCTGCCCCCCCAGCGCCTGGCCGGGGCCACCCTGCTGGTGTTCGCCAACAAGCAGGACCTGCCCGGGGCGCTGCCGGCCGGGGACATCCGCCAGGTACCGGCACCCCAAAACACCCAAACACCCCCGGGGACCCCAAAAAACCTCAGGGACCCCAAAAACCCCCCGGGACCCCAAAAACCCCGTGAGGGACCCCAAAAAACCCCCCAAGGGAGACCCCAAATCCCCCCGGGAAACCCCCCTGAGAGGGACCCCCAAAACCCTTGGGAGGGATCCCGAAACCCTGGGGAGACCCCAAAAAACCCCCAAAGGAAACCCCAAAACACCGGGGGGACCCCAAAAAAATTCCCCAAAACCACACCGGGCCTCCCCCCCCAAACCCCCCTGAGAGGCACGGACTGACCAGAGTGACCACAGTGACCACTGACCCCCAGAGTGACCCCTGCCGACCTGGGGGCGCGCCTCTGCCCCCCGGACTGACCCCTGAGTGACCCCGGACTGACCCCAGGCTGACCCCAGTGACCTGGACTGACCCCTGAGTGACCCCTGGGTGACCCCAGCCCGGGACCCCCGGAGCCCTTGGGGCAGTGGGGGAGGGGCAGGGGGGGTCTCTTCCCCTCCCCCGGTGCCAATAAACGTGGGGCAGTTTTGGGTTCATTTTGTGCAGTTTTGGGTTCATTTTGTGCAGTTTTGGGTCAATTTTGTGCAGTTTTGGGTTCATTTCCGGCACTTTCAGGTCAGTTTCAGGTAAATTTTGGGTCATTTTCCGGCAGTTTCAGGTCCATTTTGGGTCCATTTTGTGCAGGTTTGGGTCATTTTTGGGTCCATTTCCGGCAGTTTCGGGTCATTTTCGGGTCATTTTTGGGTCCATTTCCGGCAGTTTTGGGTCAGTTTCGGGTAAATTTTAGGTTCATTTCTAGCAGTTTCGGGTCAGTTTTGGGTCCATTTTTGGGTCCATTTCCAGCAGTTTTGGGTCCATTTTGGGTCCGTTTTTGGGTCCATTTTTGGGTCCATTTCCCCCATTTTTGGGTCCATTTTTGGGACATTTCTCCCATTTTTGCGTCAATTTTCTCTATTTTTGGGTCCATTTTTGAGTCAATTTCTCCCATTTTTGGGTCCATTTTTAGGTCAATTTCCCCCATTTTTGCGTCCATTTTTGAGTCAATTTTTTAGTCCATTTCTTCCATTTTTGGGTCCATTTTTGAGTCCATTTTTGAGTCCATTTCTCCCATTTTTGGGTCCATTTTTGGACAATTCTCCCATTTTTTGAGTCAATTTTCTCCATTTTTGGGTCCATTTTTAGGTCAATTTCCCCCATTCTTGGGTCCATTTTTGAGTCCATTTTTGAGTCCATTTCTCCCATTTTTGGGTCCATTTTTGGACAATTCTCCCATTTTTTGAGTCAATTTTCTCCATTTTTGGGTCCATTTTTAGGTCAATTTCCCCCATTCTTGGGTCCATTTTTGAGTCCATTTTTGAGTCCATTTCTCCCATTTTTGGGTCCATTTTTGGACAATTCTCCCATTTTTTGAGTCAATTTTCTCCATTTTTGGGTCCATTTTTAGGTCAATTTCCCCCATTCTTGGGTCCATTTTTGAGTCCATTTTTGAGTCCATTTCCCCCAATTTTGGGTCCATTTCTGAGTCAATTTTCTCCATTTTTGGGTCCATTTTTAGGTCAATTTCCCCCATTCTTGGGTCCATTTTTGAGTCCATTTTTGAGTCCATTTCCCCCAATTTTGGGTCCATTTCTGACCACTGACCCCCCTGAGTGACCACAGTGACCACTGACCCCTGGAGTGACCACTGAGTGACCCACAGACTGACCAGAGTGACCACAGTGACCCTGAGTGACCCACGGACTGACCCCTGCCCTGCCCCTCCTGCCCGGCCTGGACTGGCTGCTGGACGACCTGGGGGCGCGCCTCTGCCCCCCCGACTGACCCCTGAGTGACCACTGACCCCTGGAGTGACCACTGAGTGACCCACAGACTGACCAGAGTGACCACAGTGACCCTGAGTGACCCACGGACTGACCCCTGCCCTGCCCCTCCTGCCCGGCCTGGACTGGCTGCTGGACGACCTGGGGGCGCGCCTCTGCCCCCCGGACTGACCACAGTAACCCTGAGTGACCCCGGACTGACCCCAGTGACCTGGACTGACCCCTGAGTGACCCCTGGGTGACCCCAGCCCGGGACCCCCGGAGCCCTTGGGGCAGTGGGGGAGGGGCAGGGGGGGGGTCTCTTCCCCTCCCCCGGTGACAATAAACGTGGGGCAGTTTTGGGTTCATTTTGTGCAGTTTTGGGTCAATTTTGTGCAGTTTTGGGTTCATTTCCGGCACTTTCAGGTCAGTTTCAGGTAAATTTTGGGTCATTTTCCGGCAGTTTCAGGTCCATTTTGGGTCCATTTTGTGCAGGTTTGGGTCATTTTTGGGTCCATTTCCGGCAGTTTCGGGTCATTTTCGGGTCATTTTTGGGTCCATTTCCGGCAGTTTTGGGTCAGTTTCGGGTAAATTTTAGGTTCATTTCTAGCAGTTTCGGGTCAGTTTTGGGTCCATTTTTGGGTCCATTTCCAGCAGTTTTGGGTCCATTTTGGGTCCGTTTTTGGGTCCATTTTTGGGTCCATTTCCGGCAGTTTTGGGGCACTCCCACAGACTCAGCCTCGCGGGGGTGGGGGAGGGGTCTCAATCCTTTATTGAGGGGTCCCCCGCCCCTCCCCCTCACCATCTCCCGCACTCTCCTCTCCAGCTCTCGGCTCCGGCGCTGCGAGCGGCGCTGCTGCTGCTGCAGCCTGCGGGGACTGGGAACGCTGGGAGCCAAACTGGGGGGACTGGGGGGAACTGGGAACCGAACTGGGAACGCTGGGAACCGGACTGGGAACCGAACTGGGGGAACTGGGAGGGACTGGGAGGGACTGGGGGGAACTGGGAACCGAACTGGGAACGCTGGGAACCGGACTGGGAACCGAACTGGGGGAACTGGGAGGGACTGGGAGCGACTGGGGGGAACTGGGAACCGAACTGGGAACGCTGGGAGCCAAACTGGGGGGAACTGGGGGGAACTGGGGGAAACTGGGAACCGACCTGGGAACGCTGGGGGAACTGGGAGCACTGGGAGCCAAACTGGGAACACTGGGAGGGACTGGGAGCACTGGGAACCGAACTGGGAACACTGGGGGAAC